GATATCATATGGTATTTGTCTTCCTCTTTCTGACTTACTTCACTTAGTATGATAATCTCTGGTTGCATCCATGTTGCTGCAAATGGCATTATTTCATTCTTTTTTTATAGCTGAGTAGTATTCCATTGTATATATGTACCACATCTTCTTTATTCATTCATCTGTTGATGGACATTTAGGTTGTTTCCATGTCTTGGCTATGGTGAATAGTGCTGAGATGAACACAGGGGTGCATGTATCTTTTTGAATTATAGTTTTGTCTGGATATATGCCCAGGAGTGGGATTGCTGGATCATATGGTAATTCTATTTTTAGTTTTCTGAGGAACCTCCATACTGCTTTCCACAGTGAGAGCACCAACTTACATTCCCACCAATAGTGTAGGAGGGTTCCCTTTTCTCCACACCCTCTCCAGCATTTGTTATTTGTAGACTTCTTGATGATGGCCATCCTGACTGGTGTGAAGAGATACCTCATTGTAGTTTTGATTTGCATTTCTCTAATAATTAGCAATGTTGAGCATCTTTTTATGTGCCTACTGGCCATCTGTATTTCTTCTTTGGAGAAATGTCTATTTAGGTGTTCTGCCCATTTTTGGGTTGGGTTGTTTGTTTTTTTGTTGTTGAGTTGTATGAGCTGTTTGTATATTTTGGAAATTAAGCCCTTGTCGGTCTCATCGTTTGCAAATATTTTCTCCCGTTCTTCAGGTTGTGTTTTCATTTTGTTTATGGTTTCCTTTGCTGTGCAAAAGCTTGTAAGTTTGATTAGGTCCCATTTGTTTATTTTTGTTTTTATTTCTATTTCCTTGGGAGACTGACCTAAGAAAACATTGCTATGATTTATGTCAGACAATGTTTTGCCTATGTTCTCTTCTAGGAGTTTTATGGTGTCATGTCTTATGTTTAAGTCTTTAAGCCATTTTGAGTTTATTTTTGTGTATGGCGTGAGGAAGTGTTCTAACTTCATTGATTTACAGGCAGCTGTCCAGCTTTCCCAACACCATTACTGAAGAGACTATCTTTTTTCCATTGTATAATCTTGCCTCCTTTGTAGAAGATTAATTGACCTTAGGTGTATGGGTTTATTTCTGGGCTCTCTATTCTGTTCCGTTGATCCATATGTCTTTCTTTGTGCCAATACCATACTGTTTTGATTACTGTAGCTTTGTAGTATTGTCTGGAGCCTGGGAGGGTTATGCATCCTGCTTTGTTCTTTTTCTTCAGGATTGCTTTGGCAATTCTGGGTCTTTTATGGTTCCATATGAATTTTAGGATTATATGTTCTAGTTCTGTGAAAAATGTCATGGGTAATTTGATAGGGATAGTGTTAAAGAGGCCAACTTTAAATGCCCTTCTCCTTACCCCACTCCAACTTTTCAGATGGAAATTGGATGAACACATACTTACCTTCCCCCTCAGCTTTCATCCTCTGAAAACTGTTCATTGGCCTGCCCATTCCTCCATAGCTCATAGAAATACCAAAGGGACCTTACCTTGTCCCTTCAGTTTCATTAGAATTTGTTGATTGGGTTAGTCCACTTAACTGATCTCCAGGGGAGGACAAAGATATCACAAGAAGGGGTTTTCATAGTGTAGAGGCAGCATGGTAGTACCTGGCGTGGGTAGTTCCATCTGAAGTTGCTGACCTCATCACTATTTTCATACCTCCCAATGCCACAGGAGGAAAATCTGGAGTAAGATTTCTTATGCTCCTGATAACATTTGGTGTTCAAAACAATACATGAAAAGATGCTCAACATTATCAGTCATTAGGGAAATTGAAATCAAAACCATAATGAGATACCACTTTGTACTCAGATGACAATAATAATAACAGAAAATAAGTGGTGGTGAGGGTGTGGAAGAATTGAACTTTTGTACAGGGCTGGTGGGGATATAAAAAGGTGGAGCCTCTGTGGAAAACAGTGTTCAGTTCCTCAAAAACTTAAAGTTCACGTATGATCCAGCAATTCCGTTTCTAGGTATGTACCCAAAAGAGTTGAAAACAGGTACTCCAACAAATACTTGTACATGAATGTTAATAGCTACACTATTAGCTATTTGGGACTGGAGCCCTGAAATGCAACACTCTCTGCAGGCACTTTGTGGGAATTTTGAACAAGACCTCTGGCCAAATGGAAGTACATGATGATGAATTGTTCAATATGCAGCCGCTGTTTTCCGATGAATCAGTTCAGAGTGAATCGACACTAGAGAGTCACACCAAATCTTTTAGAGAAAAGATGGATTCTTGCATTGAAGCCTTTGGTACCACCAAACAGAAGCGGGCTCTGAACTCCAGGAGACTGAACAAAGCTGGCAGTGAATCTCTGAATAGTGCAGTGGCTAAAGCTGCAGAGAGTATAATTGATACAAAGGGTGTGACTGGTAAGCAGCTGGAACTTGGGGTAAGAGGCTGCTGGTAGAAACAGCTTTCTCTTCTCTTGAGATCGTTCACCTGCCCCACAGATGGAAATGATTGGAGTTAGGGCTGGGTTCCTTCCTGCTTCTCCCTGAGGGCCTTCTTAGGAGCAGACTCTGGAAATCATAAGAAACATCTAACATGGCCTGCTCTCAGTGAGCTCACAGTCGAGTAGAGGAGACACACATGGGAACGGTTATGTGCCCTCTGTGTCCTTGGTGCCAGGGCTACAGCCTGCAGGGCACAGAGGAGGGAGATGGCCTCAAGTCTCTGTGAGTTACAGGGAGGTTTTAGTCAAAAAGTCTGATGTGATGATGATGAACTAGCCTCTAGAGACACTTTGAGGTCACTGGATCTTTTTCTTTTCCTAAATTCTTCAGCAGCTTGAGTATTAAATTGTATTATTTTTTTTTTTTAAGAAAAGCTGCTTTCAAAAATGCACGTGTCTCACTATAGCCAGAAGGCTGACACAACCCAAATGCCCATTGTGAACACACTGTGGCACATACATACATGGAATATTATTCAGCTCCAGAAAGGAATGAAGCACTGATACACATTACAACGTGGGTGAATCTCTAAAACAGCATGCTAAATGAAAGGCAGACACAAAAGTTCACCTATTGTATGATATGACTTATATGAGATACCCAGAAAAGGTAAATCTACAGAGACAGAAGCAGATTGGTGGTTGCCAGGAGGTAGGGAGGAGGGAGGGAGTGGGGAGGGACTACTTACTAGGTATGGGGTTTTATTGGGGGTGATGAAAATATTTTGGAATTTGATAGAGGTGGTGGCTGTACGACGTTGTGAATTTAACAAATGTCACTGAATCGTTCACCTTAAAATGGTTTATCTTATACGATTAATTTCACATCAAAAAAAAGTTAACACATATAAAGAAAATAAGTAGCAGACCACCAGATGGGTTTTCAGAAGCTATCATCCTTCGCCAGAACCTTGATAGGCAAAGAATGCATCTTCGTATGACTAAATGATTCATCCCAGCTCAGCTGCCCACGATTCAGTTCTGCAATAAACATCTCACGCTTGGGGACCCCTTTCATTGTTGTGGCTTCGTCTGTTCCCACTTGGCTGAGTACTGCGGAGACTGATGGAGGTAAGGCAGACTTCCCCAACCAGAAGGTCCAACTTATACGTAAGCATTGCTAACAACTGCCATTTAAGTTTACTAGCATATAAAAGTAAAATGCCCAGTTACAAACCCTATAGCTTTGAGCCATTAAAAATGCTCTTGATTATATATGAGAACTCGTAAGTGTCTAACTTTACCTAGAAGTTTCAGCTTAATCATTTTAAGCAAATAACAGAAGGAAGTGGTGATAATCTACCCTTTGTTCTAATATTAAAATGTGAATAATTAACCTTCCAGGAAAAAAAAAAAAGCAGAATTTTAAGAGTAGTTCAGGCTAATAAATGTCCAGTTTAGAAATAGATCAGTCCTTCTGGTACAGACTGTTACCCCTGATTTATTGCAGTGGCAATTCCCATGAAATCAGTCATTACTTCAGTTAAACTATTGGAGCATTAATGCCTTTAAATTCTGCTTTCAGGCACTTAAATGCTGGATAATACTGATTTTTATGGGGATGATGGCTTGTGGTAAAAGGCCTAAAAAGTTCATTTTTGCTACATCAAATTTTGTTAACAAAAATGCTAAGTTCCTACAGACTTTTTTTTCCTACAGACTTTAGATTCTAAAAATCAGTTTTTCCTGGGTAGAACTGATAGTACTTAGTGATTATTGTTTAAGGTTTATATCTAGAAGTAAATAAATATTTATTATTGCACCCAACTATACAAATGCTTTTGTTCAGCAACAGCTTTATAAGAATAAAAGTTGGTGGTCCAGACAGTCGGGCACCTTATAGTACAGAAAGATTCATCCCTCATGAACCTCTCCAGGGGAAATATAGTTACCAAAGTGCCCCAAGAAATTTCTTCTCCAAAAATGTCACATCACTATAAGAAGGCTTTAGGATATCGGTATGCTGGTAACTGCCCCAGTGAAAATTACCTAGTTACCCTAACTACCTTCTTTCAGAATGAAAAAAAAAAAAAAAAAAAAAAAAAAAAAAGAAAGGAATAGGGAAAGGAGGAAGAGGGAGGAAAGGGAGAAGAAAAGGAAAAGAGGTGTAAGAAATAATAAAGAAATGAGGAAAGTAACCTGGTTTCTCTGCCCCAGAAGCAATGAACATTGGAAACCCAACGGGCCAAGCTAAACATTAACCAGTACTTTTGGCTGGCCTTTGACAGCACAGGGTAGAGATATGCACCTGGCTTTCAGAAACTAGCTAGATGGGTTCAAAGCCCAACCTCACCATTTAGAAGCAATGTGACCTTGAATAAGTTAATGAGCCTTTCTGAGCCTCTGCTTTTTCATCCACCAATGCGAACGATCCCACCCACCTCCCAGAGTTAGGAGGCCTCAGTGAGAGAAGCATCTTAGATTCCCAGCCAGAGGCACGCTGCCTCTCCTGTGGTCTGAAGCATGGACGGCTTAATCTGGAAGGTTTGTTATTGATGTTGATACTACACCAGGAAGTCAGGACATAGCCGATTCTACTGTATTTTTTATTAGAAAAACAAATTAAATAGTGATTGATTCTATAAAAAATTGAACTGGAGTCCGTGGCTCATGGTGGGGAAGGCTCAGAAGATGGAGACAAGGATGTGGTGGCAGCAGTTTCTTTTTCTTCGTATCTGGGAGGCAATTCGGATGAGAGACAGGGAGTGTGTGAGGTCTCAGAGGATGGAGCAGTCCCAGAAATAGTATATATAGATTCACAATCTCTCTCAGAGGCTGCGCCTTGGCCCTCAGGAGTTGGGATCCTACGAAGGAGAGAGAACATGAAAGGGAGCAGAGGGACTCAGTCACATGCTACCTTAACTACCAGGTTCTTTTCACATGTTTAATTAGATGCATTTGGAAACATTTGCAAGGGTCTCCAGAGTAATTTCTTCCATATTCTATTCTGCATAGATATGTTTTGATTTCTTACCCCTTCCTGTCCCTAGAGCTCATGGTTACTTTAAGACTGTCTCACTCCTGTTGTCATTCCCCTTGTCATTGAAAAGACGTAGAGTACAAACACATAGCTGCCTTCCGAAAAGAACATGCACACACACAGTTACTCTTCTCTGCTTCTTCATCTTCTGAGACAGCTAGTGGAAGGTAGACAAACTTATGCAAAGAGAAAATTAAATCATTAAGCCAAAAACTTGAAGGAAGGCAGGAAGACGTACTGGTTAATGGAGTGAGGTCTAGCAAAGGGCAGACCTGCATCTGAATTTCCACTCTGCTGCTTTCTAGCTGTCTGATCTCAGGCAAGTTACTTAACCTCTCTAAGCCTCAGTTTCCTCATCTGTAAAATGGGGATGATGACAGTGCCTACCTTCTAAGTAACTATGGGAATGACCTGAGGTAATGTAAGAAAAGGCAGACTCTGGCATAGCAACAGCCGTAGGAGTAGTTTTTAGTAGCCGTAGAAATAGACATTTATTTTAGGGCTCTGGGAAGTTCATCATTGGAGAAAAGAATACAAAAATTCACTAAGAGAATTCTACAAATGTCCAGAACCTAACCTCCCTTTCACCCACACAGGGGAACTTCTGCATTCATCCCTGGTCAGATCTCCAGCTCATCACCTGGTTTGAGGTACAAGAACACGTGCCGTGAAACATGAATTACCAGGTATGGCAGCCCCCGTCCCTAGCACACTCGTGACATCTCTCAGGTCCTGCTTCTCACTGCTTTCAAAAATGCACGTGTCTCAGTGTCTCAAAAGCCACTTTTCACTGAGGCCTGCTTTGCCCTGTGAGATTTTCCAGTGATCCTACCTTCACTTCCTACACCCTGCTTTCCCACGTGGGAAGGTGCAGAGCCTTTTCCAGCCCTGCTCGTCCCTGACGCTTCCCAGAACTCCTTCCTTTCATGCTGTCCCCGCCCGTGGATTCTCCAGAGGCCTCTGTCGCTTTGCCCTCTTGGTTTCAGCAGCCTCTTTGCCATTTCATCTCCAGGACCCCATCTCTCTCCCAAGACCTGGCCCATCCGGTCTAGCTAAAAGGCCCACACCTCGCTCTCCCTCTACTGCAAGCCAGCTCACCATCTTCTCCCACTTACACAGGCCCCGTCTCTGTCTTCCTCAGTCAGGGACATTCCCTGTCCCTGTCACTCACCCTTGACATCATCATCTCCGCTCTTCATCCCTGTCATCCTCCACAGCAGACATCCTCACACACTCCTCCCTTTCTGACCACCCCAGTCCCAGGCTCCTGTTACCTTCAGCCTGTCCATGAGAGAAGGCTTCCTCTCCGGTCTGGTCACCCCCAGCCTTTCCCCAACACGAGCTGTGCTAACCACTGCTCGGACCCTGTTGCCGTGACTCCACAGCCTTCAATGGCATCCCTCTGCCTCAAGGAAAAACACTTATATTTACACTGTTTAATCTGACCCCAGGTACGCCTCCAAATTTGTGGCAAAGCATGGGGGACGGGGATGGGAATCTCGTATTTCTCTTCCGTCAATCTGAGAAGGCTCTGAGGCCCAGGGAACAATTTAATATTGAGGGGAGAAGCCTGGCGTGGTTAAGTCAGGGTGCAGGTTGATTTTAGCCGGCCACTCAAGTATCTCCATTAGATACTGAAATGCTCTGTACCTGCTGGAGGTCCCCTGGGACCCTCACCCCTCCCACAATCTAAAGCAGCAAAGCCTAACTTAGCAGGGGCCTCCTGAGTTCTGCTCCAGCGCTCGGGATGGCTGATGGGTTTGTGCAGCATTTTGAGGATCAGCCCTGCTAGGACCACATAAAGATGCCTGGAGAGGCCTTCATATGAACCCAGCATAACCACTTTTATAATTTTTAACTTATATGCTGCCCAAAGTTTCCTGAAAAGTACTAGGGATATTAAGGCAATAATTCTGGCATAATGTCAGCCAAAAAGATACTCATACTTGGATGGCTACACCTCTGCCATAGCCTTAAAGCTGATTTGGCCTGAATGTAGACATAGGCCTGAAAAGGTTAAACTATTCTTGACGTTCAAACGGAAAGTCTTACCTATAGTTAAAAATACTGTAATATGAAGGTGGATTTTCATTTGGGAGCAAACTGTCAGCCCCAGGACTCCGAGTAGCTGCAGAAACTGAAGACTCAGGGAAGTAAGGTGGTGGAGGAGGTGGGAATATGATCACGGCATCACCTAAGGAAACACAACATTTCATTGACGACAGATGAGTACTAAATGCAAGCAAATGAGCAAAAGCCAAAGAAATTAATTCTATATTTGGCCCATCTATAGAAAAGGTCAAAACACCAGAATTTAAAAGTGAGCCTATCCAATTTACAGAGACGGAAAGCAGAGGTTGCCAGGGGCTGGAGGCTAGGGCGACTGGACTTAGTGTTTAATGCAGGCAGGGTTTCTGTTCAGGATAATGAAAAACTTTCGGGAATTGATCATGGTGGTGGCTGTACAACATGGTGAATGTACTTAATACCACTCTACACTTTAAAATGATTAAACTGGTAAATTGTATGTTGTCTATTTTGCCACATGAAAAAAAAATAGTGGGCCTATATTTCATAGCAAGTCTGAGCTAAAGCATTTCTGTGAAGCATTTGCTAACAATGTTTCTTACCTCCCCTGGGATGTCTGCTGCTACAAAGCTTTTCTCCTTTTCTACTCACAATTTTAATTCTTCAAAAGTTAGCTGTTGGATAAAGTGCCTCCATTCCTCAAATGCAGTTTTAACCTCTGGACAAATGACAGTCCAGCCACAATACAGCCCATCATCCCTATTTCCATAGTTGTGGTTTATGCACGTGAAGAGTTTTTTTTATCTACCAACGTTTCTTCCAAGCTTTACAAAAGAAAGTCAAACTCAAAGAAAAGCTAGGGTTTTTTTTGTTTTGTTTTGTTTTTTGCATTTCTGTTGGTACTGTTCACTCCAGAAGACATCCCTGTGTTTGGGCGAGGAGAGCTGGGGACCAGATGCAAGCTCTAATTTGATTCCAACACAAAATGTACCAGATGAGTTGCCCAGAACCTTCCAGACATGAGGTCTGAGGGTGGCCTCTGATAAGCTGGCAGCACCAAATGACAGCTCAGGAAGAATGAAAGAGGAAAGAGGAATTTACTTCCCTGCAGGGAGGAGATGGTTTGTACTGGTAGCAGAGCTGATGCTCACCTAGGTAGCTGCAGGGTTCTCTAGAGTTACCGGGGTTCCACTTGCCAGTTCCCACCAAGTGTGGCCCTGAACAAGTTATGTGCCCTCTCTAGGCCTCCCTCAGCCACCACATCTGTAAATGGCAGGCTGTAACTGTACCTGCCTCAGAGGACAGGTAGGAGGACTGGATTTGCGCGCGGGGTTAAAACGGTGCTGAGCACGGAGCAAGCTCTCTCATCCTCAGAGGGACTTTCTTCACCAACCACCAGCAAGTGGCACCTATTTGCATGTCTGAAGAAACATTCCCAACTGGCAGTCTGGCCAGTGGTTCCACTCTCCACCTTGATGCCTCAGTCACCTCCCCAGAGGTAACTTAGCCCTGCAGAAAATGCATTAACTCCATCTCTCCTTCTGCAAGGAGATGGCGGTTCAAGCTTTTAATATACATCGCTAACCGAAGCTGGAAAAAGCATAGTGGTTGTCTTGGGATTCTCATTTAATTTTTTCAGAAGGTCTTGGTAGGTCAGAGGAAGGTAGGTTGAATGTTCACTTTAATTACACATTGTAGGACAAAGGATCTGGAAACAAGTCTCTAAAGCAGGCTGATCACCTATCAAACACAGACAAGGAAGTACTCAGAGTCTCCAGTCATCTCTGAGGCTTAGCCACCCCTCTGCCAGGTCAGCTCCCAGCCCTCCTGCTCTCCCCGGAAAGTCCCATGCCCCTGGGGTTTCTCTTCCACTATGTCCTGAAAGACTTGATGTCCTCTGTGAGTTGACCATACACCTGCTTGTGCATCCAGGGTCCAGCACTAGGTGTGCCCACAATGCAGATATCATGCATCTTGGTTTATCTCTTCTGTCTTCCATTCTGGGAAGAGCTGCATTCTGGCACTTAGCCAAGGACTGCCTCTTATCACCCCAATTTCCCTCACAAGGCAGAACTGACCATTGACAGACAATGCCTGGAGTCTTAACAACTGTGCTAAAAGGCATGATTTCTAAAAACGTAAACCCTATTCCATAATACCAAAGGAGAGAAAGACAAGGTGCCAGATTTTCACAGGTTTGATAGGACTTAAACGGTTATGTGGAAAAGATTTTAAACTATGCAGTGCCAACATCAGGACAGAACCGCCCAGGAGTCACTCCAGCACAAGCCCTGCTCCCTGCCGCCCCCCATTCCAACCACCAGGAAGAAAGCTGGGCCCCAAAACTCCCGGATAGTAAACCCAAAGGGCACACCTTGAAATGCTCCCAACTAAGTGGAAGACCGTGAGTGTCTCATGAGAGTATTTACTTGGCCCCCACTGTGTTCCCTGAAAGAACTAAGAACATCTATAATATTGGGTGAGCCCTTTCGTCATGTAACAACAACCCAGGACACCTGGTGAAGGATGAAGCCTGCAGAAACAGAATTACAGCAAGTGCCTGAGGAGGGTGCTATGCAAGGGCCATAGCATACGCATGCCCACCGCCTCCGTTAGGATCCTGGCTCTGCCACTTGCTAGTTTGTGACATTGGGCAAATTACTTGGGATCCCTGACCCTTGGTTTCTTTATCTTTAACATGGAGACACTAAGAGCATCTGCCTCAGTGGGTTGTTGTAGGTGTGAATGAATTTCACACAACAGGCCCTTGACAAGTACACGCTAAAACACCTAGATGGGTATTTGGCCCAAGAATAAGCCCTATATATTTGTTTGCTATTATTAACATATAACTAATATTGATGTTGTCACCATAATTATATAAACGCACAAATAAGTAAGTTGGGAGCTTCAACCCTGGATGAACACAAGGATCGTCTGTAAATCCATCTGCCCTTCCTTTCTGAGGCCAATACCATGCAAGGCCCACAGCCCAGGGAATCCCCACAGTGAGTACCGCCAGCTCGACAGACAGCCCCACCCGCGAGAAACATCTCACTCGCCACCTTCCTTCCCTGTTCCTTCCACGGTTTCTGCTCTGTAATCCTCTTTGCCCACCCAGTCTTTTACATGTTAGGGCTGTGGCTTCAGAGTGGGAGACTGAAATAAAACAGTGATTTGCAAAAATGAGCAGCGGTGGGGGTGTTTTCTTTGTCTGTGTGAACGTGAGACCAAAGCTACTGGTATGGTTCTGTGGGGACCTGACTCTGGGAAATGGTGATCCAGCTCTTCTGCAGATCCCTGGGGACCCAAAGGGACACTCTGTAGGCACTCCATGGAGGATAGAAGCGACAGGTGCTGTCGTATTTCATCTTTGTCTATACCACTGCTTCCAAGCCTTGCTCCGACCCTGAAGCCAAGGATGAAATTACAGAAAATGAAGAATGATGCAGAAAACAGTACAGAAGACTCCCTCAAAACATGGAAGACCAATGGACTTGTGACAGATTCAGAATCCTAGATATTAGTGCTGTCAGGAATCTTAGAAATGCAGTGCTTATAAATACACAAAGTAAGGCCAGGAGAGGTTAAGGACTTCCAAAGACAGCCAGTCAGGGATGACCAGGGATGAGAACCCACATTTCCAACAACCAGAAGTGCCATAAGTGTTTGGTGTGAGAATAACAGGGGAAATAGGGTCACTTGGCAGGTACCTTAGGTTTTAGAAGGCTCCCAGGCTTTCCTCAAGGATCCTCTCACTTTCCTCTTTATTTGCTCTGTGACCTTAGGTAAGGTCACAAGTTAATGTCCCAATGCTTTTGCTAGATAATAAGGAATTGCTGGGAGGAGATGATGCGCTCAAGGATTCTTACGGGGATAAGTACAGCAGCAGAACTGTGTCTGTGTGCATCTGCGTGTGTGTATGTGTGTGTCTTTGTGTGTGAGAGAGACACACACACAGGGACAGGGACAGGGACAAAGAGAGAGAAGGAGAAAGAGAATCTAGGCCAGACCCGGGAGCAGCTCAGTGAAGCCTTGATGCTACAGCCATGGTGATATGAACAAGAACAGGAAGGACAGCCACCCACCTACAGTGACCTGGACGGGCTCCATGTTCTGGGTCTGTCTCTCTTCACTTTCAGAAGCATCCTGGCCCACATTCGAGTTGTTTCTCTTCTTAACATGGGCAACCACGAAGAAACACAATCCCACAAGCACAATCAAGGGTCCCAAGATCTGCAGGGACAGGAATCCACAGATCTGGGGCTCTAAGTCAGCAGTGTCTGTCTCATTCAGCGGTTCCTGCACCCAGTCTGAGCCACACCCGGGGACCCAAATGCCCAGTACACTGATGAGCATACCACTCGTCAGGAACAGAAACCCAAAGATGAGACACTGGACAAACTGGCGGCTCTCCCCACAGAGGAAGGCTCGGTCGGAGGCCCCCTGGTTGCCTCGCAGGCGCTCCTCACTTCTCTGAAGTCGTGCCCGGGAGCGGGCCAGGACCACAGCCCCCAGCCCAATCACGGCACACGCGGGCCCGGAGATCTTCAGCACCGTGCTGCAGTCTGGGAGGGTTTCGTATTGGCATGCCTGGAAGCCAAAGATGGAGAGCAGGACTCCCACACACAGCAGGATGGCACCGATGACAAAAAGGAAGAAAATGAGCTTGGTCACATGCCTGTCTCCCTGGACCCCATCTGGCTCGGCAGCAGCTACAGGAGACATGGCCAGAAGAGGCCACTTCCCCGAGGGGGGTGGGATGTGTTCCTTCCCTTCAATGGTTTCAACAACTCTGCAGACATAAGCAAACACCAAATTAAAGTGGGCGCAGGTGTTCCTGCCCCGCCCTGTTCTTTTTCCCAGATCACACTAGGATGAAATCATAGGAAATAGAACTTTGTGCAACTGATACACTGTAGCACAATGAACTGGTTCATGAGTCAGAGGAACTGGCATTCAGAAACTCCTGGACATGTAATTTTATAAAGGTATGCAAGATGGGCAAATGCAATTACCATGCACCTAAGAGTATCTTGAAAAATCAAAACCCATGCGACAAAAGTAAATGGGTGTGGCTTTTCCTGTTATGAGTCTTAACAGACTCACTTCCCCGGCCAAAAAAACCCAAAACCAAAAACATAAAAGCAATGGTGAGCGAAGGAAGAACCACAGGGATTGTTTCTGATTTTTACAAACATCCCATATTTCATCACAGCTGCTATGAGTATTTCCAAGTTGGTAAATTTTCGTTCACTAACTAACTTTCCATTTCCTATTTTAGACTGCAGCAACTTTCCATTCCATGCTTTATCCTAAGGCTACATCCACAGGAGACCCAGGTTTCAACTGAATGGGAAGGTGGTTCAGGAACACAGTGAGTTTGGTGGATTTTAAGTTAATTCTGTCAAAATGTGACTCTTGAGTTCTCAAACAGGCACACATTGGGGCTGCCCTGAAATCTGGTGGCCTGGCTGCTTGGTTCTGGGATAACCCAGGGGGGTCTGGTAGCACCTTGTCCCTCAGGTGGGCAGGTGGCCTCTTGCTCACCCTCTTCCGTGGTGCCACCCACTTCCACAAAAAGGTTTAGACCCAGTTAAAAACAAGCAGCCGATAAAATCACCAGTTACAAAACACTAAACAGCAATAGAACTTGACTTTGAAAGAAGAGTATACATGAAATTAAGTGGCAAAGCACCTTCCATAAGACCACCCAAGCCCGGTACTTCAAGGCTCTCATATATTAAATGTATCCCGAGCAGTGGGTAAAGAATTGTCTACCTTACACACCCTGACTTTATTATCCAGTTATCTTGTCTTACTCTAATGAATGGAATATTTTTCCAGGACCCTTCAAGTTGGGGCACTCAAAAAGACAACCCAAATGTAAAGAACATTTTCACTTGCTCAAGGAAAGAAAACTTTTAAAATCTTTTGTGCCACTTGCATCCGTGGTCACAAGAAGGAGCTCAAGATTGAGTCGCTAAAGCCAAGGCCATCTTGACAAACCCAAATCCTGTCCAAGTAGGGTCAGGTTAGGTAAAGAAAGGAAACAACTGGTCTTATGCTAGGAAGTGCTTTTCCAGGAAGAAGTAAGATATAATCAGAAGGAAGTTGGAGAAAGAAGGAAACAGAGGTGGGAAACAAGCTTCCGCGTTAAACTTGGACAAACTATATTTATGAAGATGTAATTAAGCGGAAACAAACATTTAAAGTATTGCACTAATTAAAAAAAAATTCTGAGTCCTGTAATATCTTTTGCTGGTCTGAAGATATGAGTGAGGGGTGACTCTCTGCCACAAAGTCCTATCAATTCATTGTACCTTGGATTGATACCTGGACTTTGTCGTGAGTCACAAGGCTTCAACTGCCTTAAGGCAAATTCCCCAATACTAGTAAAGCCTAAAACTGGATTTGTAGCTTCCTTTCCATGGACTAGTGGACTAAGCACCTGGCATAGGTGTTAATCCCCCATCCAAAATAGTATGTGGGTAGTTCGTTCTCTCTCCCCTCCCCCCCATAGATGCGCTCACAAACTGACTCAGAGACACCTGCACTAATAGGAGATTAAACCTTTTCCAAATACCAACCTACATTTCATTTCCCCAAAGCCAAATTCACCTCCCCAACGCTGTTTCCCAAAGGACATTTCCAAATCAGCAGCATGTCACCACGTCCAAAGCTCTCTGTGCTTGGGTACTGACGCAGAGAGGCACAAGTCCTTTACAGGAAAGAGTCTGGTGGGTTTAGAGAGCCGAAGCGCCACACCAGCCCGGAGAGCTCGGCGCGCGGCCCCCCCGGGCGCAGGTGCAGTGCGGCTCCTCCGCGCTGCGCCGCTCCTCGCTCCCAGCCTGGACCCCAAAGCTCAGCGCCCGCCCCGCGGCCACAGAGCGCGGGCTCCCGGGGTGCAGAGGAGCGCGGGGCCGGGAGCGCTTACCTGAGGCTCCGTCCTGCGAGGGCGCTGTCTGCGCCGCCAGTCGCCGGGCAGCGCGGCGCCCGCCTCCACCCGCGGCCTCCCGGGCGGCGGCCCGCACCGCACACTCCCACCTGTGTGTCCCGGCGCAGAGGGCGGGCCGCGCGGTGTTTACGGAGGAGGCGTTGCCGGCGCGGGCAGGGCAGGGCGGACTGGCGGGAGCTGGCCGCCGCCGGGTGCTGCCCTTCGGGGGCCAGAGGCGCGCCCGGCTCCGGGGTGGAGAGCGCGGGGCGGCGGACGGGGCGGCTTCCGCGTCCGTGACCGTGTGCGCGAGGAATCCGGGAAAATGCCCCCCTCCGCCGCCTCCTCCTCCTCGGCCCGTGGCCCTGCGGGCACGGGGCGGCAAGTGGGGGTTCTCCTGGCTGTCCCAACTCGCGAGGCGACGGTCGAGGTCCGGGCGGCGTGAAGGGAGCCAGTTCCCTTCCGGGCCGAGAGCCCAGAATTTGGGCCGGGGGTGGGGAAGGAAGGGCAGCGGTGTGGCCGCCGCCCAGGCAGGGGTCCCTGCGTTCCCGCCGCCGCGCCCTCTGGGACGGGTGCACCTGGGGGCCTGTGGCCCTCCTGCCGCTCCAGAGACCTTGGCTGGGGTCACTGGGGCTAGCCCCTCGCCGCGAGCTCCCCGACGAAGAGGTTATAGAGACACCAGGTCACAGAAACGTGCGCTCCATTAGCGTGTGAGACAACGGTCGTCCATGCCCGAAGCGTACAGGCATCCGGTCCTAGCTCCAAGACTCACACTTATGGTCGTCATGGTCATCGCAGTCCCGCGTTGCCATCGAACCCCCTTCCTGGTTCTCAGTCGCTAATGATTTGCCGGACTTAAACTGCTCACTTTCTCTGCCCTTGAACCGGGCGTTTTGGGATGGGTTTGCTAATCCCCGTGCTATTTGTAACCTGCCCCGTGACACGTGACATGGAATCAGCTGCGCCAGTTTCCACACCAGAGGTCAGGGCGCTGTGAAAGGTGAGTCAAGAGCTAAGGCCAAAGTGGGGAGTGCCATGAGCCCTGCGGCCTTTCCCATCCCTGCCACTTCTCCCTGGAGTCCTATCCACTTTGCCTGAAATCAGCCCAGTCAAGAGTTAATGCCAACTGCCTTAACCTTTTGGAAGTGAGAACACCTTGCATACCTGATACAGCAAGTTGTCCCCAGTCGTTTTTCACTGCAGTAAAGAATGAGTTGGCTTAGCTGATTACAGAAGGGAGGAGGCTCAAAGAAGGGCTCAGAGGGAGGCAAACAGGGAAGCGTGTCCACCTGGGTTCTGCAGGTTGGTGGGCTGGGTGGGTAAGACAGGGCTTCATAAGGGAAGCAGACTGGGCAGGGTCTAGTGGGAGGGATTTGCTGGGCCACTTGCCCCAGTGGCCAAAGATTATTACTATCTTGAATATCAACACCCCTTGCTCTGGGCCAGGTTCTGTGTTGCCTGCTTTACCTACATATAGCCTGTGGTTCTTCACTGTGTGTCTCCAGCAACTCAGAGAAGCTTGCAGGCAGAAGGCAATAGGGGAGCTAAAACGGTCATTTTTCAGCTGAGGAAACCACAGCCCAAAGATGTAAAGTGACCTCCACAGATAGTTAATGTGGAGCAAGGGCCTGAACCAGGCTGACTGTTCCTCCTGGGTACGTCTGTCACCCAGAGGACACACAATGCCACAAACTCAGAAAATGTCTTTTTATCATGTGGCATTTTTATCCCTGCAACAGAACAGACCGCTGTATCCCAAGGACATTGTGGCAATCTGTGTCCGGGTGGAGCTATCCTGGTCAAAGTGTCAGATTATACCACCTGCTGGAAGGGCCTCAGAGCACGCCCAGCTAACAAGCAAATAACCAGCAGTGGCGATCACACAACAGCAGCGGGCACGCAGCTTTCCAAGAACGCAGCCCTGACTATAGAATTTGCCTCCCTACACAGGCCTGCTAGCAATTCCTTTCTGTACAGGGGGGTCTCCTTTTCCTTTCCCTAATCACTCTTTCGGACCTGCAAGGGCCCTGTTGATACAGCTGCCCCTCTGGTGCCACATGACTGCAGGCTGGCCACACATGACAGATTTGAATGTACTGGCACCAAGGACAATCAGATTAGCCTCTACTTGGGATGTCTGCCACTTGAACTGTTTGTGTCTTTTGGAGCCTGTTTGACTAAATTAAAATCCTTGGAAACCAATCACTGGTCATGTATGAAAGACATACCCACCAGCATTCAAGGTGCTTGTCTTTGTAGCAGACCTGTTCTTGTCACTATCTAAGAAAGAGACTGAATGACCTTGTCACTATCTAAAACCTGGTGGCCTTTTCCAGCCCATGTGGTAGTGAAAAAAGATCAGCCCAGGCCGAGTCCTTAGAAAAATACCATCAGAACAAGCTTAAAAAATGGATGAATCTTGAATTCAGGAAGTGAATATGGAGGGTGAAGCTGAGGAATGCAGCAAAAGCTTGAGAGGAATGAGAAAGCAAGCACATTGATTATCTATCATTACATAAGAAATTATCCCAAAATATAGAGCTTTTTTAAAGAATTATTTATTTTATTTATTTATTTTTGGCTGCGTTGGGTCTTCCTTGCTGCGCCTGGGCTTTTTCTCTAGTTGCGGTGAGCGGGAGCTACTCTTCGTTGCGGTGCGCGGGCTTCTCACTGCGGTGGCTTCTCTAGTTGTGGAGCACAGGCTCTAGGCGCATGGGCTTCAGTAGTTGTGGTGTGCAGGCTCAGTAGTTGTGGCTCGTGGGCTCTAGAGCACAGGCTTGGTAGTTGTGGCGCACGGGCTTAGTTGCTCTGCGGCATGTGGGATCTTCCCGGACCAGGGTTTGAACCCATGTCCCCTGCATTGGCAGGCAGATTCTTAACCACTGCGCCACCAGGGAAGCCCCCAAAATGTAGAGCTATAAACAACAAAGATTTATTCTCTCACAGTTTCTGAGGGTCAGGTGTCTGGGAACAGCTTCGCGGGGTTGTTCTGGCTTGGGATCTCTCATGAGGCTGCAGTCAAGCAGTTTGCTGGGGCTGCATCGTCTGAAGGCCTGACTGGAGCTGGAGGACCTGTTTCCAAGATGGCTGTCCCCCATCGCTGTTGGCAGGAGGCCTCAGTTTTTCACTATGTGAACCTGTCCACAGAGCCGCTTGAGTGTTCTCATGACATGGCAGCTGGCTTCCTCTAGGGTGAGTAATCCAAGAGAGAGCAAATGAGGAGGAAGCTGTAGTGCTTTTTATGACAGTCTCTGAAGTCCCACACCATTGCTTCTGCTTTATTCTAGTTCTTAGAATTGAGTCACTAAGTCAAGGAGAGAGGGATTAGGCTCCACCTCTTGAAGGAGAGAGTATCAAAGAATTTGTGAACATATTTTAGAACTGTCACAGAGAACTGTGGTGATATTTGGCGGAAGAGGGGAAGAGCACTTCAGGCAGAGAAAACAGCAAGTGCAAAGGCCCTGAGGCAGGAGCAGGCATAGCATATTCAGGGAAGAACAAGAAGCCAGGGTTGCTGGAGTAGGTAAGCAAGGGAGAGTGGAATAGGAGGAGGTCAGTAGGGCTTGGTGGGCCACTGTAAGTCCTTTTCTTTTTTTTCTGGCTGTGCCACGCCACTTACAGGATCTTAGTTCCCCGACCAGGGATTGAACCTGGGCCCTCAGCAGTGAAAGTGTGGAGTCCTAACCACTGGACTGTCAGGGAGTTCCCTGTTGTAAGTAACGTTGAGTAAGATGAGCAGCCTTTGGGGTATTTTTTAGCTGAATGTGATGTGATCTGACTTACTTTAAAAAAGAAAACAGAGGCTTCTGGGTGAGCAAAGCCAGAGGAGGAGGAAGCAGAGATGAAGAGACCATTTAGGAGGCTATTATAAATAACCTGGGAGAGAGATGACCGTGGCTTTTGTTTGGAGGTGATAAACACAATTGGATTCTGTATATATCTCATATAATACATCTCGAAGATAGAGTCAACGGGGTTTTCCATGGACTGAATGTGGGTTTTGACTCCAAGGTTTTTGAGGTGAAGAACTGGAAACATGGTTCTGGCATTGACCGAGACTAAAGGCAGGACAAGTTTGAGGGGGAACCTTCACAGCTCGGTTTGGGACATGACAACTTTGAGATGTCTGCTAGACACCTGAGTGGAGAAGTTGAGTAGGCAATGGAACATATAGGCCTGGAGTTCAGGAATTCTGGAAGGAACAGTTTCCTGTGGTCTGCCAGTGACATTTATTACAAAATCAAGAGGGCTGGGCCCATTCTCTGGAAGAGTTTACTCATGTATATGTGGCTACTGAGGGCTCCAAGCAGGCATAAAGCAAGGGGCAGACTGATGGCTGACACTCCCCAGGGCACTGCCAACCTGGAGAAACAGCTCAGGACAAGTGATTGGCTCAGGGTTCTAGAATGCAGTATGGCCATTTTTCAGGACTCACAAGATGGCAGAAAGACAGTCCATCAGTTGAGTCTGCCGGCTTCTGGTTTCTCGTTTCTCTTTTGGTTGTTCTCTGGTTCTGCCCCCAATTAACCTTGTCACCCAGAGGCATGCATTCTTCTCTTCCAATTCCTGACATTTCTTGAGCCTCCCCTGGGGCTGGTGTACAGGAACTTGCTCTCGAGTGCTTGGTCTTGGATCCACGTGTCAGCTAATATTCCTAGGACTCCCAGTGACGCCTTTGAACCGCGCTGGGCCCCCTCCAGCTGCCTAACCCTGCAGAGGGTGCTGCAGTCAGGGGAGGCCGAGGTTCTTGGGGCATGTTCTTCTGCCCCACCCTGATGTTAGATGTAGACCCGAGGCCTCAGAGCTATGTCTGGGGTGGGATTGACTGATTTAGCAAGCTTGAGTTGAGAGTTTCGATTTGGCCCCTTAGCTGACTTCAAGTGCAAAGATGAATTTTTTGCAGTCATTTTATTGCCTGGATTGGTGCTGTTGATTTTGTGTGGCTGATAACAGCTCAGCTTGAGTGTGGCTAGTCAGAGCCAAGGGTGTGGAGCACAAGGAGTTGTTTGAGACAGAATGAAAGTGAGGATTTGCCTCTTGGTCTTATCAGCGGAGGCCTCCACACTGTTGAGGGAGGGAGACCCCTTCAACAGAGGTGGCAGCATCTGGGCAGCAGACTAGAGGAGACCAGTGTGTTGACAGTAAGAAGTCTATGGAAATGTAGTGGTCTCCTGTCTCCTGGCATCTACTGTTGGCCCCATCAAACACCTACAGCTCACTGGGTCCCAAAGAATGAATCATTCCTCCCGGCATTTATAAAAAGGGGATGAGTCGGACCTCGGTGTAGATCTTGGCTTTGCCGTTTACTAGCTGTGTGACCTCAGGCAAGTAAACAACTTTTCTGTGCCTCAGTGCCCTCTTCTATAATAAGGGAATAAACCGACCTACCTCAAAGGATGCCTGGAGGAGTAAGTTTCTGGCACGTGGCGGGCCATCAGTGGACGTATTGCGGCTAGTCACCTCGTCTCCCATCTGCGGTTCCTCCCCCGTAACCTTCAGGAAGGTTGATCTGATGATGAATCCACAGAGAAGGTATAGAGATAGAAGAGGAGGGAGGTCCGCGTGCCCAGTGAGAGCAAAGTGAGTTGTGTTGACTTCGAGTGCTCAGTTTGCAATGGTTTGAGTCACTGCCAGCTCAGCTCACTTCTTCCTGAAGCATGTCTCCTAGTTATTTCTCAGCATCTTGCGGGTGTGTGTCACGTGATCTCAAAAACTAGCCGTCCAGGTGGTCACCCTGTGTTATCTGCCCTGTCGTTCTGCCTCAGCTCCACGACTGTCTGCAGCCACCCAAGCTTCTGGAAGGCGTCTTTGTTGCTGGTGTCCCTGGAGGGATATGGGGACCCTGCCAAGTGCTCCCCCAGCCAGCCAGTGGCTGGAGTTTGGGGTTCTAACTGC